TCTATTGCTCCTAGAGTTCTAGGCCAAATGTTATCCCAAGCATGGTCTAAGGTATTAATTTTAACAAAATGCGAATACGGTGGTAAAATGTATCACGTTTCCCTCTTTTCTGATCTTCTCAATGTTCTATGAACTTAAAAAGAAATTACCTTGTTTCGGGTGTATTGACACCCTAAAATACCACAAGGTTTGTAATGCTTTATCTGTAATATTTGCAATATAGTGCAGGAATCCATTTGAATTTCAAGGTTCATAGTGCAGAGAATGTACTATTATAATGGCAACAGTTAGTATAATGTTATCTCAGTAGCTGTATTTATTATGAAAAATTAAAACTGCCCTTCATAACTGTAATAAAGTGAAAGGAAAGGTCTGTTCTAAATGACCTCTAATTTTTAGAATCCTAAATATTCAATATCCATCAAATTGAATGTTAAATTTCAAGGAACAAAAAAACAACAGATGGGCATTTATAACATAATATGTGAAGAAACCCTGATAAGACTTCAGATGTCTCTTATTTCCAGTTTTCCCCTGCCCCTGATAATGTGCTTAAAGGAAACATTCTTTCTGTAGTAATTTACATCGAGTTATCTTCATCAGCAATCCTATAAACGAAGTCTCTAGTTCACTACCCAAATGCAGCACTCTTTCCATGTTCAGGAAGACCCTTAGAAAACACAAGTTCTTAAAAGAATAAAGAAAAGGTGATCTAATATGAATTCATTTTCTTCCAAACAAACTGTAAGTCCTGGTTCTACCCTGGTACCCAGTTTTCATCTCCAACTTAGGTAGATTTAAGAGACACTCAAAAGCAAAGTGTGCACAGGCACAAATGGGGAATTTGTCATTTTCCCCCTCCAAACAACCACTATTTATATAATATTGCTGCCTTCATAAAAGGGAATCCATTACCATCAGCAATTCATGTCCCTGCTTCAGCATCAGATGCAAACAGGATACGGAAACAAGATCTCTCTCCTCCATTTACTTTTTGTTCATTCCAACCTCTGGACATAATCCTCAGTCCCATTCCACTGGTCTGCTACATCATCCGACACTCCTGATTTCTACCTTTTCAAGTCTTAGTGACCATCCTGTTACATTTCGGTGATTGTTTTGGTGTCTAAATACTACAGAATGAGTTTGCTCATTACCCTCCAGATAGCAACTTAAGGAAATGAATCTTGAACAATTCAGTTCAGGGATTCAAGTGTATTATCCTGAGGTCCCTCCCCCTGCCCTATTCTGTTGAGAATGTTTGACTTTTCAATAGTAATCAATGTGCTTTTTGGTGATCAATACACTTTTCATAAAAATATTTCCTCAGTTGGAAGATGTGGGTACAGGAGCTTTGTTAAAAGAGCAAATGCTTCTTTCCCTTATCTTCACCCACAAAACAGTAAATCAGTATTAAAACAAAACAAAATGCACCCGGATGGTGTATTAGCCTCCTGAAGGGGCATATGGAAAAGCACACGAGTAAAGAAACTGCCCCTCACCATAGCCGAGAAGGGAAGCTACAAATGAGGGCATTTTCATGAAAGAACACATCCCAAAATGCAGAAGCTGTTTACTTTAGAAAAGGGGGCGGGAGAGGAGAGAGCAATAGGGAGAGAGGTGTAGCACTGACAGATAAACAAGAATTCTTCTTTATTAACCTACACTCTAAAAACTAACGGTATCTGGCAATCTAAAGTCTGAAAAACAAAATTGATCCTATCACAGTTTAAGCTGAACAATACTTTCTTGATGAAAATTGGATGTTTTGAACTTGTTTTGGCAGAATGATCTTTTAACCTGATACACAAAACTACTTTTCCAAAATAACACTTAAAATATGAGCTTTCAAGTGTCTTACAATCTGCAAGTCTTAAAATTAAGTCTCATCCCTTTACCATCACATATCCTAAGTCACTTTGATTTAACATCATCTTCTGTATCATTGCCGCCTATTATTGGTTTGCAATGAAATCTGTACAATTAATAATAACCTTCTTCCCTCTCATCTTACTAGAGAGCCAAGGATGACATATCTTCTTATCTCCCTACTTGTTCCATTAGATTGACATATTTTGCCTCATCTGTCACCTTCCATAAAACTCTGCTTTCAGATATGAGTTAATTCATTTTTAGTTGTCCTCAATGTTCTAAAATAGTGATGTCTGACAGAATTAATACAGTGCTCTAGTTCTCTCTGTTCAACTGGTACTTAATTAAAGATCTTGGAGGCCATCTTTCTCTCAGGTTACACCATTTAAAGAAGGAACGTTACTTCCTCCAGACAGTGTGATAAGCCACATGGCACTAAAGCTGCCATCCCCAGGTCTCCCATTTAACAGATTGCTTTACCAAGTATAAACTACCAGCAAGACAGATTACCACTTTACTTCACACTGATTTACTTTTAACATCTCTGAACCCTCAGTCTACTTTGCCTACACTCTCTCTTACCTTGTGAATCTCCAGAATTTCTGGCGTTTTAACACTCCTTTACACTTTTATCATTGCTTCTGTTTGAAACAGACCTCAGAAAGTCCTAATGACGTTTAATCTGTAACATTTCTTGAATTTCTGGTTTACAATGCAGAAAAGTCATGAAGCCATCAGAGAGAGCAAACTTGGAGCACAAACTGAAAATTCCCTGTTTTAAATTCTTTTGAATTAGTACCTTTTGGAGAATAGCTACTCTATTTGATATGTCATAATTTTCATTTCTAAAGGCACCATGGATAATTTAAATTGGCACTTGTTATTTATTACACAAATAATTGTTCTCTCGGATGGCCTTTTGAAAGCTAGCACTTCTTCATCATTTTTTGACCCTACTGGAACCACAAGAGACATGTCAATTTAAGCAAACTTCAGGAGCAATAAACTAACAAACAGACTCTAGGTGGTGGTATAGGTTATTTTTTATCATGATGTTTTGCTCTTAAAACTGCAAGAGTCAGAGGAGCCTTTAGCCTCTTCTACAGACACTTCTTTCTTACAGACCTACAATCTTTTAGGATGTTTCAATTAGTAAACTCCAAGTTCTACAGTGTTTTGGAGGCAAATGCAATATATAGATCTAAGTCAAGTTTTCCCGCAGACATTAAACAAGGTTTTCAATTGCTTCAAAAGCACTGCAGAGATCTCACTTGAGTAAAACTAACAATGAGCAGACCTTTTTTTTTTTTTTTTTTTTTAAATACGTATTTACTCATAGGGCACTTTCAGGGGTAGGTGTGGAAGGAGGTGTTTCCCCACCAGAGTGAATGAAGTGGACTAGAGAAACAATCCCACAGCTGTTTCATTGACTGATTGTTCTTTGTCTCTAGGAACTAATTCCAGACAGAGAAAAGTTGCTACTGGTGATGAAGCCTTATTCTCGGAACCAGCTAAACCCACTCAACATCACTGAACCCCCGAGCAAAACCAAAGCAACTTATTTCTAAGTTGAAAAACATTTCAACATACTCCAGGCAGCAGCCTAGTTAGGTGCCAGGCAATGGAAGCACTAGATGTGTTTAAAAAGTCCACTCATTTCAGGGCCTCTTCCACGAAGGTGGCAAACCGGTGATTAAACACTGAATAATCCATCGGGAAGATGCACCCACTTGCAAAACCTATGATTCACTAATAAGTAGGTTCAATGCGATTCACAGCTTTAAAGAATGAGTTACCAAAGCCCTCTGCTTCACAAATCCCACTCCCCTCCCCCAAATGTAAAGAGCATTCATTGTATATAACCCAACACCTATTTTCACTTTGGACACCTACACACAGTCTTTCTCCCTCTGAAGACGGTTTTTCAGCCCCAGACCATCTCACAATTTAATTATTTACATTACCGGAGACAAACTCCAACTTAGTTCTACCGACTGAGTGAGAAGTCCTTGCAGGTAGGAACGTCTTAATTTTTGTCTAAAATAAGATGTCCTATTAAGAAACTGAACGCAAAAGTACTTATCATTCTGTTCTTTTACTATCTTCAGAAACCCATTAAATCACTCAGGAGATAGAAGGTAGAACCGCCTGCAATGCTTCAGAGATCAACATGTGTCAGAGTCCGGGCTTGCTCGCCTGTGAGACACAGTTGATTCCTTTGTTCCTCCAGACTGAACACCAACTCTTGGTTAAAATTTGGAAACTACTTTGGAAAGGATGGGAGGGTTTGTAGACTATTTCCAGGGAAACCGTTCATAAAACAATATTCACGAGTAGTAAGGAGGGCAGAGATGTAAGAGGAGAGAAAAGAAGCTTCCCAAGACCTCCACGGGTCTCACCCCAAACGTGAGCCCCGCTCCGGGCTCGGGGGTTGAAAGTGATGGTTGAGGCCTCGGGTCCAAAGAGCCTCGCCCTCGGGGAAGGTGGGGGAGTGCGGGGGGTTGGACAAGGACCGATCGGCCAGGCTTGGGGTCTGGTGGGGGGGGGGCGGAGGGCTGTCCCCTTTCCTGTTCACTTTTCTCCACCCGGAATCCGGCGAGCGCGGAGCCAGGAGGCACCGGGCGAGAGGCTGGTAGCAGCGCCCGGCGCCGCCCAGGTCGCCCGGGCAGCAGGACCGAGAGCTGCGCGGCGACAAGCGCCCGGACTCCGGGCCGAGGGGGCAGCCGAGCGGGGGCGCGACCCGAGCCGGGCCACCCGTGCCCGGCCCGTCTCAGGGGACACACGGCGGCGGCCCCTCGGCCCAGGACTGCCACAGACCGGCCGGTGAGCCCGGGGCCAACTCCACAACTTGCCGGCCCGGCTGCCCGGGCCCCCCGAGTTCTCGGGAAGGTTCGGACCTGGCAGGAGGGGCGGAACGTCCCCGGAAACGCTTCCTCCCCGTCGCCGAGCCCACCCCGCCGTCCGCGTTCGCTCTCGCCGGCGGCCGCGCGATCCCCGCGGCCCCGACGCCCCCGCGGCCCTGCCCGCCGCCGCCGCCGCCGCCGCCGCCGCCGCGGGCCGCGCTGCCGGGCCGTTTCCGGCGGCGCCCACGGCCGCTCCCGGAGCCCCCGGCCGCGGCCGCCACTCACCCGAGGCCGCCGCGGCTCCGAGCCTCGGGCTCCGTCAGGCTCACTTCGCGAAGGCGCCCCGCCGCCCCGTCCTCCCCGGCGCCCCGGCGAGCTCTTCCCTCAGATCGGCAGCGCTGCCAAGCGCAGGGGCGGCCGCGGGGCCACCGGCGGGCGTGCGCGGGCGGGCGGGCGGGAGGGCTCGGGGCCGGGTCGTCCCTCCGCCTCGGCCGCCGCCTCCTCCTCCTCCTCCTCCTCCTCCTCCACCGCCGCCGCCGCCGCCGCCGCCGCCTCCCGAGTTCGGGGCTCTGCTGCAATGTCTGCGAGGCTGACTTTGAGCGCCTCGCTCGCCGCCCGCCCGCAGCCGCGCTCCTCCCTCCGCCGCCGAGTCCGCCGCGGCCCAGTCCCTCCCCTCGCCGCTCCACGCCATTCAGCTCTTCAGCCAAGTTTCTTAACCCTTTTTTCCCCCTCCCTCCCATTGTCACCGGGGCTGGAGGAAGCCGCTTGGGTCCCCGCGGCTCCAGGGCGCTGAGGAGCCTCCCCCCACACCCCCCGGTTTTGCTGTTTTCCTCCTTGCCCGCCCTCCAGATGGCCGGGCGGGGGCTGCAGGGCCCGCAAGGCGGCGGGAGGATCGCGTCGGCCGGGAGAGGAGGGTGCTCCACGCGCCCGAGCCGGCCCCCTCGGCTCCCGGCTCTGTCCAGCCGCCCCTGACCGCCGGAGGCGCCTGGACAGCTCCTCCCGGGCCCCGGGGGCTCGTTCTCGTCACCCAGGCCGAGGGCTCGCGTTTGGGACACAGCCTGGGGGCCGGGACGCCCAGGTCCCGCCGGGGTGCTGGCGCCTCGGCGTCCCCCTCCCATCCCCCCCCCACCCCGCCAAGACGCGCGTTCCCTGCTCCTTCTCACCCACCCCCAGCTTCCACCACCTTGCAATGTATGTGTCCTGCTTTGATCTTGGGGGGCACGGGCACTAACTCCAGGTCACTTTGACCCCACGCCTTAACACGTAGCAGGCGCCCGGGAATAAATGTGGAGTGACTCGGAGAGGAACACTGGGGAGGAGACCTGAGGAGTGCCCCGTTCAGCTCCTTGGACGGACGTAGGACCCAGGAGCAGGGTTTGTCTTCAGCTGCTTTGTCACTGCGAAGTCTCCAGCGGAGTCAGTCGGCGAATCTACATCATGCCGGGGAGAATTTGACCTACCAGACGAGGCAAAAAGAGCAGGGCTGCCACTTCTTCGGCAGCTCTCCTCGGTTCTGTCTCCGAATAAGAAATAACAATTACATCACGAGGCCGGGGCGGCAGCGCTGTGGAGCCTCTCGGTTTCCTGCAGCTTAATCTCGCTGCACCCGCCTCTAAACTGGGGGGCATATGGATTGGTGGCGAGAGAAAGTGGAGAGGGGAGAGAGTCCTACGAAACCATAATCCACCCCCCACCCCCCTCCGACCTTGCATTTGCTGTTTTAAAAATCCTATCCTCAACGCTCCCCCAAACATCTAACTAGAACTATTAACACCCCTTCAACATCTCCCCAGATGTCAGGTTTCTTTTTGACTCTAGCATCTAGCATTTAGTAACTCGCCATGAAAAAAAAAATTACCCGGGGAAATGAGTGCCGTTGCTGAAATTGTTTTTGCTTGATACAAAAACGCTGAAGTACAGCTTCGCCTCACCCCTAACTCAGAAATGGCATGCCTGTGTTAAAACACTTATTACACAAACAAATGAGTGGATGAGGCACTCCATTCTTACATGGAGGTGTCCATATCCTTAAGAATTCTATAACATTTGAAAATAGAGTTGCTGGCGCACTTAAACACCCCCCCCCAAGAAAAACCCCAAAACTCACTATCCTAGTCATGAAACAGTATTCTGTGCCTGTTATGTAATGACTGTATTGTACATTTAAAATTTCATTTAACCTTTAAAAATATGAAAGTTCTGTAATACCTTCAAGTCTTAATATTGAAAGCAATGGTTAATATGCTTAATAAATCCACCACCCAGCACCGTTCTGGGCCCATTGTAGAAATAGTTTGCTTAATGGTGATAGTGCATTTTAGAACAATTATTTTACATTACCTTAGTGACTCAACTGTGCAATCTGTTGCCATCTTATATTGTTTAAACTTCATATGATGGCTTATTGTGTGTATATACTAGTTTGAAATCTGTTCAAGGCAACTTAGTAAAACCTTCTGTTCCATAGTATATCATTTATCCAGGATTGATGCAAAACAAACTGTTCCAATTAAGTGATGATCAGCAGAATTGGAATCTGGCCCTTTAAAAGTCAAACTTCTTAAAAAAAAAAAAAAAACTGTTAAGTATTATACAAAGATTTTCTAAAATGGGTTATAAATTTTTTTCCTTAAGCAGTTTATTGGATTTCTTTCTTTCTTTCTTTCACTTGGCTTTTTCTTAAAAAGTCAGGGTTAATTTTATTAAAAGTGTTTATTGTGGTAGGTTGTAGTGGATTCAACAAATACATCAAGTTTCTCTTCTATATCAGGCTTCTTCCCACGTGTTAAGAGATGCTCCCAGGAGGTGCATAAGCTATCAATGGCTGCGCTGAAGGACTCTAGGAAGCTATGACTTCATGATTCCTTCTGCCTTTTGCAGTTTCTCTTTTCCCCTTCACTAACTGATGATCTGTTGCCCTTATTCTCTATTGCCACAGCATGCCTGCCTCTGGTATTTTCCTCCTCTTCTGACCAGCAGCTTCTAGTCTGGTGCAGACTGAGAATCTAGATAACTTCACTTCCCACAATTCCGTACAGTAAAACTAAATAGATCTTATGTAAGAAGCTGATGTGCTCACCAAGGAGTAAGACACATCAACCTCAATGCATAGACTTCGGGACAGCTATTCAGACCACTCAAATGTTGCTTTGAAAAGCATTGTTTTTGCTCCTTAACTGGGTTTTGGATCACTGAGGCTTATAGACAAACAGCCTTCTAATAAGTGAGGTTACACAGTTGACCCAACCAGCAGAGTATCGGTCCTGCCCTCCAACGCTAGTGTTAAAGTCTACAACCGTTTGTCAGATGACTTAACAAAGGTGCTCACCTCTTATTAATCCATCTTCTATACCCCCCAAAAATCCAATCACTGAAAACCTGAACTCTTTTTTGATAGTGCCTTAGTGAAAGTAAATTGCGCACCTTTTGTGGAATTCATTTTTACTTAATCATGCTAATTGTGGTGAGGCTACTTTGTTGTTCTTTGTTTTTGAAAAATCAATACCTAAGTTTCCTGGCTAAAAGAGTCATTGCAGTGATACGGGGCATATATATAATATCAGAATGCCTATTCAGTAATTTGTATTTTGAAGACAACACTCATTTTAACCAATTGTGATGTGAAAAAGATGCCCTTCAGTTTATATACTTAAACACAAAAGTATTTTTATAAACCCAGGGTTCCTGTGGCCTCAGACGTTCATAGTTCAGGCTTAATATGATTATCCATCACGGAGAAATAGTCTGGGAAGGGTATGTTTATGAGGTGCTCTCTAATCTCCACTGTTATTAGCATCTTTTCACACCATCTTGTGACTGTACCCCATTCTAAATGCAAGCACTGCTGGCAGAGTCAGGGTCCATCTCCCTCTGGTTCACACTGGTATCTCTCCACCACCTATCCCTGTGCCCAACAAGCAGAATTCAGTAGATACTGGGCAAGACTCTGTTCTGGCCCAGTGGACAGTGTTTAGCTCCAGCTGGGGTACAGGTGTGGGAGGAGGGAGTTTAGGGAACATTTTTGCAGAGAAGATAATGCTTCCGCAAACTATTAAAAGGTAAAATTTTCCAGGTAGGCAAAGTAAGAAATGGATTCTCAGGAAATGAGAAAAGACTGTTGGACACTAGAGAGGTATAAAGAAAACAAAAATATACATTGAAGGGTATTGAATCTACATTATACACTATGAAATTAGTGACTAGCGAACTATGACAACCGACAAAAATGTTTAGTGATGGGACTGCAGTGTAGCTACACTGTTATGATCTCCTTAGTCTCTAGAGAAAGCACGGCCCAATAAAAATATAAACTGAGACACAAATGTGAGCTTCATATAGACTTTTAAGTTTTCTAGTAGCCACATTTAAAAAATACAAAGAAATAGGTGGAAGTAATTTTAACCCAATATATTAAAATATTATTTTAATGTATGCACAACATAAACGTTATTTATTAGATATTTTTCATTATTGACACTACATTTTCAAAATCCAACGGACATCTCAATTTGAATAAGTCATATTCAAGTGTTCAAAAGTCACGTGCAACTAATGGCTGCTATACTGGACAGAACAGCTCTAGAGGACACAAGAAATATTTAACAATACAATTAAAAGAAATCTCTTAGGGGTGCCTAAGTGGCTCAGAAGGTTAAGCATCTGCTTTCTGCTCAAGTCATGAGTTCTAGGTCCTGGAATTGTGATCTCCAGGTGCTGGGATCGTGATCTCCAGGTCCTAGGATCAAGTCCGGTGTCTGGCTCCCAGCTGGGCGGGGAGTCTGCTTCTCCCTCTCCTTCTCCCTCTGCCTCTCCCCCTGCTTGTGCTCTCTCTGTCTCTCTCTCAAATGAATAAATAAAATCTTTAAAAAAAAAATCTCTTAGGATGAAAAATCTAAATCTTATTAAATCTAAGATTTTATTTGTGTTGATTACTGGTGTTTAACTATGCTGTGTTATAAAAACCACTTTCTTGTATCTATCTGGTTTTTATGCCAATTAGAAAATCAGCAAAGTTTACGTTTTATGTACTGTGTCTTCATTAACCATACAGTAGTTACAACTACTGCTATTTCTATTAACTCTGGTGGTAGACTGTAAACGTAAACTGGCTTTATGGCAGAAATAAAACACTATAAATTTGGGGTTGAATAAGCTTTAAAGAAGGCTTCTGTGAACTTCCTCTGTGCAAGTTACTGTCAAGCATGTTCTGTGCAAGCCCAGGTTTTGCTTTTCAGTTCCTCCATGCCCAGTTAGTTACTTGTGGACTCTAAAATCCAGCCCAGCCTCGTTTGAGGCAGTCACCTGCCTGAAGCCGGTGGTAAGGTTGTGCTGCAGAGCCTTGGGTACCAGGAAAGGTCTACAGGGCTCAGATGAAGATGTTCAGACA